ACACACACACACACACACACACCCCAGCCTACAATGGAATACTGTGTAGCTATTAAAAAAAAAGAGAATGAGGAAGCTTTTTATGAATTGATATGGAGTGATTATAAGATATATTATTAAGTTAAAAAAAAGGAAAAGTTTACAACAATGGATATTGTGTGCTGCCATTTGTATTAACAGGCTGAGGGAAATATGTATATGTATTTGACAGTTTATGCATAAACCATCTCTGGAAGAATATACAAAAAGCCCATAATATTGGTTGTCTCTGTGAAAGGAAGCAGGTAGCTAAGTGATGGAAGTAGGAGAGCTCATAGTCACAGAAAACCATTTTGTACCTTTTGATATTTTAAACCATGTCACCTATTTAAAAAATAAATAAATTTCCTGCTTGGCATCTGTAGATGTCTGCATTTACAGTGCAATGTATGCACAGCAGTGAGGGATTGTGCCTCACAAAATTTTAAAATTAGAAGAGTTTTTACTAAGAGTTATCAAAGGGACGTCTGAGTCATGAAACTGTTACTGTTGTTTTTAACGTTTCCTCTGTAAAGCTGCACAGACTTAGTTTCAGGCCTTAAATCATGCCTATTTTCAGCTTCCCTGAAATCAAAAGAGTATCCTGTGCCATATCAATTAAAGTGAAATGTACTTTCAATTAAAGGTGTTAAGTATGAGTCTGAAGAGATTAATTCTTTATAAAAGGATGACCTTCAGTAGTTAGATCCAATTAGGCATTTTTCCAACTGTATTTCATCTTGATGGGACAAGTCTACTGCTCACAATCACTGTGATCTTTTCAAAGGCAAGTATTTTAGGTTCAGAGTCATAAAAGAATTACTTGACTAGGCAACCTGTATAACTTGAGCCACAGTTGATATTGTAGAGATTATGGGAGTTGGATATTACTTTTGAAGTATTAATATTTAAAGCATCAGGACATGCATGATGGTATTCTAAGTATAGTACATACATCTCCTCTCATGGCCTTAATAGAACAAATTAATTTAGACACAACTGACCAAAAGGAAGACGGGAAAGGAACAATGACACAAGTCAAATTCCTTTTTTATCTTTTTTTCACGGAAACATTTCATTATTAAATATGCTATAAATTCTTACTGCCCTAGTGACTTTTTTTTTTTTTCAATTGCTTTAATTGTTCTAATTCAACCTTTTCTGATATACAGCACTCAAAGCCAAGGCTATTAAAAAGTAGTGACTGCTGGATGATCTTTTCATGGTAACATGGAAAGTCTTGGGGAGTATTGTTCTCTCTCAAAAGTGAAAGGAATTGAGCATTTCTATTTAATATTGGGTATTTCCATTACAGTATTGTTGTTCCTCACTCTAGCACTCATGAAATTTGCAAACTTGGAGAAGCCATTGAATGTACTCACCTAAAAAATGAAAGCAGGTTATTCCTACTTTGGATGTATCAAAGGTTGATTGTTGGAATCAAATGAGATCATTCATATGATATCTATAAATATATGTCATATATATGATATATATGTGTAGGTAGTCCCTGACTTATGTCATATTCTAGTTATGACAAACTGCACTTACAACCATCTGTGTTTTTTTTTCCATCTCATTAGTAGTGTGTACTACATACAGTATTGCAGCATGTAATTTGCTGATGTTATCATTCTCAGATGTTCACTCACGGATGTTCAAAGACCAGATTTATACGGATACTGATAATAAAAGGCAATAATAATGAAAACTAAAAAAAAAAAAAAGGTATTCAACTTGCGATGGAATCGTCGGAATGGAACCCTATCATAAGTTGGGGCTACCTGTATAATCAGTGTTTCTCAAAGTGTGGTCTGGTGACCTCTGGGGGTCCTTGAGATTCTTCTAGAGGGTCAATGAAGTCAAAACTATTTTCACAGTGATATTAATAAATTATTTGCCTTTTTGCTTTCATTCTCTCACAAGTGTACAGTGGAATTCAGCTGGGCATATGGACATGTGATATTGTAGCAGATTGAATGCAGAAGCAAATTTAAGAATCCAGTAGCAAATTTAAGAATCTACCTGTCTTCTCTTACACTAGACTTTACAGAGATTTACAAAAATGAAAATAAAACAATGCATTCTTTTCAATGACTTTTTTTTGTTTCAGAAAATAAAGTTATTTTTCATAAAAATATTTTATCTTAACATGCAATGGGTTAGTTTCATTTTTAGATAAATTAATAAATATTTTTAAATTCCTGTCTTAATTTCTAGTACAGTAAATATTGATAGATGGAGCCTATATAAACAAAAGCTCTTTAAGAATCCTCAATACTCTTTAAGAATCTAAAAAGTTCCTAAGACCAAAAAGTTTGAGAACCGCTGGTAGACGTGAAAGAACCACGTCAATTGTGGTTACAGTGGCAGTTTGCTAAGGGATTTAGGCTGTTTAAACAATGCAGCATGCAAACAGTCCTCCCACTGCAGACATCGATTGTTAATGGCATGCTTCAGCTCCCTGGTAGAGCTGCTTAATCTGGGGTCCAAGATGATCTCTGAACTCTCTAGAATTGTCTGAAATTTCATGTGTAGGCCATGGGTCTGGTTTTTTAGGCTAAGGAGCCACACTTTTCACAGCTTTCAGGTTCTCAGAAGGTTCTAAAAGAAGCACAGCCACAGGAATTCTGAAGGTCCCCTAGCCCTGTTCCATCCCCAGGAGGAGTAATGATAAGGTCAAGATGGGGAAGCCTGAGCCAAGGTGCTGGCCGGAAACTTTTTGGTAAAGAGAAAAGCGGCTCAAGGCTCTCGTGTCTGTGGCTTGGGCTTTAGTGTTCCTTGTATTCTTGACCCTTTACTTGTGGAAAGGTGTTAGACTTGGGCCAGCTTTTCTAGACTCTCAGGAGAAAAGTGATCTTTGAGTTGGTACCATCCTTTGTGCATCCTTCTGAACCTTCTCATACCTTAATGTGGTAGGGTGTGGTAGAACATAAAGAACCAAGATCAGGCCATAGAACAAAAAGGGCCCAGAAAAAAGAGTTGCTGTGATTTGGGCACTGTTCATGCAGACCATGTGATATTATACAGAAATTTAGAGTACTAAAGCTGGAGTGCTCAACAGGATTAGATCAGGCTCTCCCAGCCCCTGTAGGAGGATACTCAGGAATTGGGTATTCAGCCATCTCTGTCTCTGTCTTGGAGATGGAGACTCTTGGCAGCTAAGCTAATAGTTAAGTGGGTCTAAATTGCTTGTGAAAATTACTGTTTAATGTTTCCTACTGCAGTTTCTTGAGATGTCTTTATTAACTTTCATTGTAGCATTTGTTGACGGTTACTCATAATATATAGTGTTCTCATGAGAATTAAAAAAAAATATCTAATTATAGCTCACTGCCCCTTATTATTGTATCTTGAAGTTAATATGAATGGGAAAAATCATATCTTAGATATTTAGTTGTTTCATATCTCTCCAGTGTCACTTAACTTTTGATTGAATATGTATGTGTATATATGTATATACATATATGTGTATATATTCCAGTTTTATGTAAGCATTTTATATTTACTTAAGTAAAATTTTGTGTATTTTGTGGTTAGTTTCACAACATTCAGATTTGTTTAAATTACACAGTTCATATCTTATGGACATTTTGTTCATGATTTAATGTATAGTTGCTGTCAAAAACGTTATCACTGTAATGTATAGATGCTGTCATAAACTTTTTCTTTAACTTTTAAAAATTATTTGATAAAATACCATTTTCCTAGGAAAATGTGAAAAATGCATGGAATATTATTTACTTTAGACTAAAGACTTCTGAAAATTTTAACTGTGAAATTCAAGGTTACCGATTTAGTGTTGTTGTTGTTATTAGGTACCATTGTTAGGTGTACTAAGTTAGTACAGATTGTATAAAATGAAGGTTTTATTTTTTGAACTTTGTGATATAAACATGTTCACATAGGTAAGTTCAATCAGTCAAACAAATCTCTTCCTTTATTATTGTCATAACTATCTCTTCCAGTTAAGGAGCTATTTGGAGGTAACTCAAAACTGTAAAATGCTGTCTACATATTAGTAGCATCTTATAAAGGTTAGAATACATTCGGTTTGATTAAACTCTGCTTCATTAGATTTTAATGTGCTGTATGTGATGTATTTCAGAAACTCCAGAAAGGAACTGAATGACATACGATTTGAGTTTACTCCAGGAAGAGGTAAGCTTTAATTGAAATTATTATTTTATTGCCACAAAAAGCATTTCAGAAATAATTACAAGCATGTAGTTATAATTTGCTGTTCAAAAACGAAGGAAAGAAGGAAGGAGAGAGGGTGAGAGGCAGGGAGGAAAGGAAGGATTTTCAGTAATTGTAAGAATTATGAACAGAACCAGTACTGACTGCATGAATCCCAGTGACACATGCTGTACAGTATGTGTGTATGTGTGTGTGTAAATAATATATTAGCTCAACCATGAAAATAAATACTGGCATAGTGATGCAGGGCCTAAAGGAGATTATGATGAGTGTAATGAGAAGCATACAGCATTAATGATGAGGGCTAAGCAGCAGAGGACTGTATCATGGAGAAAGATAAAGTACTTTGCCTGTCTTGTCTCAGGTCAGATTATAGGAAGCCTGTACTGAATAGTGTTTGTGACCTCTATTTGCCGTAGGCACCACTGGTAAACTTGGTAGGAACAATGCCAGTTTTGGAGCTGAATACAATTTTAGTATTTTATATAGTTATTACAATTGCTTAAACACTATTCTGGTTGCTGTTTAAGCTCCCGTGTGTCACGGAACCATGTATTACTTCTTGGTATCCCCAGCACCTGGCAGAGAGCCTGGCACATTGGAGAGGCCCAAGTAACCGTGGTTAACTAATGGATAAATAACATATGCAGTCTCTGGAGACCACAAGACTAGTTGAAAAAAAAATTTTTTTTATTATTTCCCTTATTTAGTTTACAACTAAAACAACATAGAGAAGTAAAAATCAGATTTTAATACTAAGCCTGTAACTCTTTTCCATGGCCCGTGGCTTCATATTTTTATGTACATGAAAACAGCTTCCATGTCCACATTGAATACCTATATAAAATACATCAGTTTCGTGTATTTGAATTTATTAATATATGTAAGCTAGTAACAGTCTGCATTTGTTTATTTTATGTACTGGAGCTCCACATAAAATTTAATTTGATTTAAAAAATTGTATATGCTAAAATTTTGAAAATTTTAAAGAGCAGGAATTTCTAGTTTGATCTCCAGCCGTTCAGCAAACTGCTTTGAACTCCCTGTGATCGTGAGCTGTGAGATGCAAACTTAGTTGCCTACAGGAGCCAGAAGGAATGGTGAGGGCTTAAGAAAACTGGACCAAAAAACAAACAAACAAACAAAACAAAACAAAACCAAACCCACTGCCATTGAGTCAATTCTGACTCATAGCAACCTTATAGGACAGGGTAGAACTGCACCATAGGGTTTCCAAGGCTGAATCTTTGTGGAAGCAGACTGCCACATCCTTCTCCTGTGGAATGGCTGGTGAGTTTGAAACGCTTACCTTTCAGTTAGCAGCCAAGAGTTTTAACCACTGTGCTATCAGAGCTCCTTGGAAATCACAGAGTCCTGTCTAAATACATTCACATTCTGTTTTTTGAAAAACACATTGCCAGCCAAACTATTTTTGTTCCTGGGCCAAATGTGGCCATAGACTTATGGGTCACTGATCTGTAGTTTCTGCAAGCACAAAGATTTAATGACTCCCAGTGTATTTGTGGAGCCCTGATGGTGCAGTCGAAATCAACTCCATGGTAGTGGGTTTTCAGTGGGGGTGGTACAGTGGTTAATAGGCTGCGACCTGAAAGGTCGGCGGTTTGAATCCACCAGCTGCTCCTTGCAAACCCTATGGGACAGTTCTACTCTGTCCTGTAGGGTCACTATGGGTCAGAATCGACTCGATGGCAACAGGTTTGGTTTTATTTTTTTTTTTGGTTGATGGTGCAGTGGTTAAGAGCTCAGCTGCTAACAAAAAGGTTGGCAGTTCGAATCCACCAGCCGCTCCTTGGAAACCCTATGGGGCAGTTCTACTCTGTCCTATAGGGTCGCTATGAGTGGGAATTGACCCAACATCCACAGATTTGGTTTTAGTTTTAGTGTATTTGTATTAAAATAACATATGAAGTATCTTTCACCAAAAAAAATGCAAATAGGACTCTAACAAAGTTGCTAATTGTTCTTTCATTCTGAAGACATCCATCTTTGACAACTTCAGAGTTGGTCTCTGAAACTGAAAAGTCCAGTTAATGTTATCAAAGACCTGTGTTTTGTCATAATATAAAAATATTGACCAAGCAATGCTGTGATAAAATCCAGTAATTATATAACATATTTCAAGTACAGTAAGTTGAATGAACAGATTCTTATTTTAAGGTTGTTTCTTTTCATCTGATTGTTTAAAATTGACTATGACATTAAAAATCAATTGTAATTTAAAGAAGTAACAAAGAAGTGAATTTCTGAGGGGAGAATTTTTGTGGCTAAGATGGTCCTATCAGCATTCCTGAGCCATTGTGCTTGCTCTGGCAGCCTTATTTGCCAGCGTTAGGTTAAGAGTCTCTGCCTTTGTTGCCCAGACAGAAACCATAGTGTCGGCTTCCTGGTGATAGCCGGCATTCACTGGGCAGCTGTGCACTGGCTGGATAGTAGCAGAGGCACCAGGTGTGTATCACAGTACCTCTGTGATTACTGATGCTGTCTGCATTTCAGACATTGTCTGCAGTAAACCTCTGCATGTACACCACATGTGTATATGTTTGCACTGTGTCTGCACTTGAATATGTATATGTGGCATAAAATACATAATATAAGCATAGAAAGTATTCTCTGTCCTCATTTTAAGAATAAGCCCTTTGTGTTTATCATATTGCTGTATGCTCTCAAAATTGGACATTAACATATGATCTTTTAAACTTATTTAGATATCAGGAATGTTAAGCAGCTTGAAGAAAAATAAATTACTAATGAAACAGTTACCTTCAAGTGTCTGTTTCAGACTGTTACTGATATCTGACCTATGTGCGTACAAAATGACTACTTAATGACACAAGCACAGAAACTTTCTCATTTTGGCTAGCCAGTGTGACCCGTTTTCCATTTTAATATGACTCATCTGGTTCCTAGGAGTCCTGAAAATAGTAGGAGACCCTGTACCCTTCAGTTGTTTGGGAATGTCACTTGCTAGTCCTCAATTTGGCTGTGTTTGATTATTAAAATTTCAACCATCTCCTGTGATTGTAACCCCTTACTCAAGTGTAAGATCGTATTGATGTGTGAGAGATGGTGCTAACACATCCAAATGCTTTACAAGATGATCAATCAGTAGAAATGTAATGACTGCCTACTGTGTGCCAAGTGCCTGAGTACCCACCAAAACCAAACCTGTTGCCATCTAGTCAGTTCGGACTCATAGAGACCTTGCACTTTAATTCAATATGCGTCTTTTCCTGAGATTCATTTGGCATCCAGGAAGATGGAGATTATGAGGCTGGATGTTCTTGCAGATGTTATAAAGATAAATTGCATTCAGAGCAGAGCCTTTCATGTGATGCTGCCCTGGGTACCATGCTATGGGGCCATTTGATCATTAAGAGATTTTTATAAGATGTTTCTTGAATTTTTGTCCGTATAATCTCTTCGCCAAGACCCAAGATAAACCCACATTACGTGGAATTCCATAGATTAGTAAAATTCTTTTTTTTTTTTCCCATTTACTTCATTGTATTCTACTTTGTTATGAAACGGAATCAGTAAAATGATAGAATACCATGATTTCTCTGAAAGTATGAATGATGTACATTGAGTCTCAAGCTTTTATTGGCGATTAGGGAAACTGGGCCAGGCATGAAGGGAAGAAAGAGCATATACAACAGTGTAAGATATGATTCACATAATCTTTGGCTGATGCATCATCATCATCACAGCTACCATTTATTATGTACTCACTGTGTGTCAGACACCAGGCTAAGCACTTCACAGCCCAAGAATTGTGAATGATAATTACACCTCCAGCTGCACATACACATATACCCACACACCCAAGCACACTTACATAATTTGAGGTACAGATTAAGCAAGGAAACCAGTCTGTGTTGAGGGCAGCCTTTGGCATGACAAACCACAATTCAGTTTGGATGCTTGTTCGATTCAGCAGCTCACTATCAGATGTTCCCTGACTTTCGGAGACACTTAGGTCAAACCTCCATCTCTGTTGCCACTGGCTGCTGAGTGGTGTTTTTTGTTTGTTTTGTTTTGTTTTTGTCCAATTATGGTTATGTATGCTTGTAAGAACATCAGAAGGCCATGGGGACCAAGTCATCCTCCTTGTAAAAACACAGAAGTTTGCAATGATTCTTTTGAGCACATTGTAATTTATCAATTTCCCTTTACAAAGTCTTGAAAAAGACTTCTCAGTGTTATCGTGTTCATTCATTACCTTTCAATTAAGTAATTTCAGCTATATTCACTTGCTGCAGCCTGTTTAATCCCATCTTTATGAGATTGCTAATTCCTGTCACTTATCATTGAGAAACTGTATTATTTTAGTCAACCACATTTTCTAAGATAATGAATCTGTTGCTATCAAATGATCAATATCATGTTAAAGGAGTTTCTTAATAGCGTAAATTTAAATGGCTCATTTTAATAGTCCAACAAGCTCATAGAATGTTTGTACCAAATATAAGGTGTATCAGACTCTACCCTTTCAACCTTTGGCATAAATCTGTCTCATTAGCAACTAATGATAGGAAAGATTTGAAGATGGCTGGAATTAACCTTGGCAAGAAAGGAAAGCTGTGTCCTAGGGAACTATTAAGAGAGAACTTCTAGAGGTGCATTTGCAGATTGATTCAGATGATAACCAGAGGCCAAATGTTTCTTGGTTCACCAAAACTGAAAAAATAATTTTGTGTAACTTCTACTGAGTAAATAGCAAGATGAAAATTGTGCATGAAAATGTATTTCAGGTTGCCTCTGATTTTTCCTCCTGATAGAATCTGAATTGTTGAATTAAAACACATGTGGGTGACTTTAGTAAATGAAAGATATATATTTTACATTGCACTGGGTTGTTGGTTTTTATTTTATGATTGCTAATACATATTCATTTCACATTTGGACAGATACGGCAGATGGTGTTTCTCAGGAGCTCTTCTCTGCTGGCTTGGTCGATGGCCATGATGTAGTTATAGGTAAGTCATCTTTTAGTATGCAGTGTCATTTTGTTGATACATCAAATGGAAATACATTTAGAAACAAAGATTTTCATAAAGGAAAACTTCACTCTATGGATTTTGGAAAAATTTTTTTCTTGAATTCTTACCTTGTATAAAGAAGTCTAAGAATCATGTTTAATTTCCCTTTTGAAAGAGCTTTTAATTTCTTTTCTCTTTTTTTATTGTACTTCAGGTGAAGGCTTACAGAACAAATAGTTTCTCATGAAACAGTAGTACACGTTGTTTTATGACATTGGTTAACAACCCCACAACACATCAACACTCTAACTTCTCAACCTTTTTTTTTGGTGAAAATACACATAGTCAAAGGTACATACACCATTTCAAAAATTTCTACATGAACAGTTCAGTGACATTGACTATGCTCTTCCAATTGTGCTGTTATTCTCACTTAAGATGAAGGCTTACAGAACAAAATAGTTTCTCATTTA